AACAATAATAATAATAATAATAATAATAATAATAATAATAATAATAATAATAATAATAATAATAATAATAATAATAATAATAATAATAATAATAATAATAATAATAATTAAAACGGAATCTTTTTATTTAAATTTTTCGCACTCGTGTCGTCATCATCATCATCACGACTTATTAATTAATATTTAATAATTTGTTAATTAATTCCGTCATTTTTTTTGTGTGGTAAGAGTGTAATAATAATAATAATAATTTATTAAACATTCTTACATTATCAATATTATTATTATTATTATTATTATTATTACGAAAAGGAAATTTTAACGGTTAATTTAATCTAGAAAAAACTAGAATTTATATTATATAAAGGTTATTGGCCATCTCCACGTCGGATTCGACACAGACATTTTTTATTTAAATTGTGATTTCTTATCGTAAACTTTTACTTAACCGGAAATCGACACACACACACACACACACGAGTTTAAAATTATTATTATTATTATTATTATTATTATTATTTCACGTAATTGAATAAAAATTATTAAAGTAATTTCAAATACCTGGAATCGAATTTAGTACCGTTGGCTAACGTTCCCGTATAATGCATCGTCAACATGTCTCCATTTTTCGATGTGGCCGTACATTCATCCGGTTTTGATACGTATTCAATTTTAAGTTCGTCCGTTGTTTCTTTTTTATCATCACTAGAGACTAAAACTAATAAAAATGCAAATAAAATGTAACACTTTAACGAAATCATAATTGAAAACAATTTTTTTTTTTTTTACGTTATTAATTAATTAATAATATTTATTTAAAGAAAAAAATAAAAATGTGAGAATGTTTCAAGTTCGGTATTTCGTTGTGAAATGACGTACAACACACACATTCACTTGAGCGTTTGCGGTTGAGAACTGAGAGTGAGAGCTGGTCCGTTACGTTGTTAACACCAATCATGTCTTCTATAGGTATTGCATCTAATCCTTACAACTTGTGCCACGTAGTCGCACGGGTTTTTTTTACTTCCACGCTTTCCGTTCCACGATTGTTTACGTATCGTCAAACGTTTTATTATACGTACGAACGAACGAACATAGATAAAAATCATCGTTTTTTTTAATAATTATTATTTATTATTATTTTTATTAATATTTATTTATTTATTTATTTAATTATTTAAATAATCTTTCGTTCTGTTATTTTGTGCATTATTTTCCTTATTATTTAATCGTCGTTACTTTTTTTTTTTTTTTTTAAACTTTTCTGATATACTTTTCTGATGTCTAATATTGACAATATTATCGTTTGAAAAATAATACGAATCGTCGTCTGCTACTAATTTAAATAAAATTTTTTTTTCCCTTTAATAAAAATATATTTTAATAAGTTTCTACTATTTTAATAATCAAGAAAATATAAACAATAAAACTTTTAATATACAAAATATTTAGATCAAACTATAGTAACGAATTTTTTTTTTTTTAATATTTTTTTATCGTTGAAATAAATAAATAAAAATATTATTATTAAAATATATATGACGTGATTTTTTATTAAATTGCAAATCCAATGAAATTTATTTATTTATTAATGTTTTCAAGTGAAATTATCAAGTAAAAAAAAAAAAAAAATGTAACCATCACGTTTTATGTAGGATTTTTTTTTGCAATTTTAGAAAATAAAAAAATTAATAATTTGGTGAAAGCTGTAAAAATCAATTAAATATAATAATCAGGTTGTTTAGTTTTTTTTCCCAAGTTATTATTATTATTATTATTATTATTATAAATTTTTCTTTTCTTTTCGGATTTAAACGAATCGATTTTCAAATTATTGGAAATAATAAATAATTAACTTATGAATCGTCGTCGTCATTATTATTATTTTCATTTAAAATTTTCGGTTTTTCTCTTTTTAAAAAAAATTTTATTTTTATGTTAGAAAAGATCATTCATTATCCAGCCACTGTAACAAATAAAAAAAAAAAAGTAATTAATACGTAACAATACGTAATTGGAAACCCGTGAAAGCCAAGGTTAAATTTAAATTTAAATTTAAATTTAATTACTCGTTCGATTCAATTAATTATATAAAATTAAAAAAAAAAAGTTTTAATTCGTACTTTTATTTTTTTTATATTTTTCATTTTCGTTTTTGTTTAAACCCCCCCCCCCCGCCACCCCTTTTGAGAAATTACATATTAATTAAAAAATAAATTTAACCTTACCGAAAAAAGAAAAATTATTAGTCAAAAAATATACAAAGGCATAAATTATAAAAAAAAAGGATGAAGTAATGTTGATGATGATGATGATAATAATAATAAATGAGGGAGCACGAAAAAAAAGGAAAAAATGGCGGTGGTGGTGGAAATGCACAAAGCGAGAAATGAGAGAATAAAAAAAAATAAAAAAAGGAAATAAAGAAGGACGTAAATAAAAAAAAAAAAAAAAAAAAAAAAGAATGATTATGTCAAGGTTTACTTAATGGCCCTACTCACTACTTCACCCCCTTCCCCCCCCCCCAAAAAAAATAGTAATTTTAGGTACGATTTTCAGGCGTACGCACACAAACACACACACTATTATTTGGTATTCATATCCATTATCAAAACTTTTTTTTTTTTTTTAGAATTCGAAACGGGTTTTTAAAACATAATTTTAAAAGTGCCTTTTTTTCTACCCTTTTTCTCTCTCTTTCTCTCTCTCTCTCTCTCTCTTAAACTCCTTTTTTACACTTAGAGAAAGAAAGAAAGAAAAACCGTATATAGACTTGGGAAAAAATAAAATAAAAAAAAAATTCGTTTCTCATATTAAATTCAAAAGTTTGAGTGTTCAAATTTACTGCATTAACCTTTGCGACAGTAAAAAAAAAAAAAAAAAAAAAAAAGAAAAATTGTTTAAACTCTTAAGAATATTTAAATTAAAATGGCGGGGAAAAAAAAGAAAATGAAATAGTAAGACAGTTACTGTGAAAAACTTTCTTTTTTTTCTCCCCCCCAGAAATTTTTTTTTGAATTTTAAAATCTTTCGATAATAATAATAATAATAATATAAACTAACTAAATAAATACTTTACGTTTTAAAATTAACAGATGCTTAAATAAAACGAAAAATTATTTCCGGGGAATTTAAAAATGGCGGGAAAATTTAAATGTTGAAAATAACCGTTAAATATAAATTTATTAAAAATAAAAATTTCACTCGATTTCTACAATTTGACATGAATTTTTATTTTTATTTTCTCATCGATAATAATAATCATAATAATAAATTTTATTATCATAAGTTATTTAAATAAAATAAAGTGGGGGGGAAGGGGTGAATGACCCTTTCCGGTTTTAACGGCGATTATTTAAATGTATTTAAATGTAAATAATTGACATGAGAAAAATTTTCTAGAACAACTAAGTTTTTATTATTATTATTCTATTTAAATTTTTTTTTTTGTTTTAAATAATTATTATCATCATTATCGTTATCATTATTATTATTATTACGGGTTTTATTTTAGGTTAAGAATGTTCAAAATTGGAAACCTTAAAATAAAAATTTTCTAGGATTTATACAAACTATTTCAACAAAAAAAATTATTTAAAAACAAAGCAAAATTTACTTTTACAAATGATGATGATGATGATAATAATAATAATAATAATGATAATGATAATTGATTTGTATTAACCGGTGTCAAAGTCAAAAGGGAAAAAATTCATTTTTTTAATTGTTTTATTATTATTATTATTATTATTATTATTATTATTATTATTATTATTATTATTATTATTATTATTATTATGGATAAGATAAATTAAAAATAAAATTTCAGTGCTGTAACCATGTTAATTTCACTTTTTAAAAAAAATTTGTTTTTAAATGATGACGTCATAAAATTCCATAAATTACGATGCTTTCCCCAAAAAATTTTTTTTTCATCTTATTTTCGCCTTGAGTTTATTTTATATCTTGTACACGAGTACCTAATAAATAATAATAATAATAATGATTAAAATAATTTGTTTTTTTTTTAAATTATGAATTTACATTGCGGAAATTATATTCTAAGAGTTTCCGTATCCGGTTTAAAATTTAAGGTCAAATCAAAATAAAAAAAAAATAATAATAAGAAAATTTTTATTTACGCCATGTTTTTTATTTTTATTTTCAGGTACACTCCGTGATATATTGTTTCTTTCGTTACGTATTTCCGTTTTATGACGAAATTAATTAAAATTTCCGGAAATGACGTAATTTTACACGTATGGATTCCAATGACCTTTTGTAGGTCAACAAACACAAGAATTAATGTTTCGTTTACGAGTTGAACGACAAACTTTTAATTTCTATAAAATTAGAAATTCGTCATTGAAATATTTTCAGGTATGAACTCGTATAATTTTCTCCTATTCTTTTCATTATTATTATTATTATTATGATACCTTAAACGAGAGTCACAAATGAAATATTCGAAATAATTAAACTTATTCTTAATTATTTAATTTAATTTAATATTGAATTCTTTATAATCCAAATCGAAAATCGCCATTTTTATCATCATCATCATCATCGATACCTTATTTAATGAATAAAAAAAAAATTTTAAATTTATTTTTTATTATATATATCATAACTTTTTAAGAATTTAAATTGGAATCGTATTTTTTAAAAAACACGAGGGAATTTTATGAAAAAAAAAATATTCGAGTTTTTAAATCTCGTGATAATTTTAAATCCTCCATTTTACGTAAACTTTACGTAAACTTATTCGAAATTGTTATTATTAACGACGATGATAAAAAAAATTATATATTATCGTTAAGAAAAGTAAAATAATTAAACGACGACGACGACGACAAACAAACAAACAAGCAAACAAAGTAACAAACAAAAAATTCTTTTTTTAATAACACGTAATTTTCAATTTAGGTTTACGTAATACTACGAACGAACGATCGATCGGGTTCTCTTCATTATTAAATAACTCCCCTTAAAATGTTTTTCATTTAAAAAATAATAATAATAATTATACTAAATATAATAATAATAATAATAATAATAATAATAATAATAATAATAATAATGATAATGATGGTATAAAATATATACAATTCGAATTGTTGTTGTCTTTTTTGTAACAATAATGAGTTAAGCGTTTTTTAAAACGTATAAAATCGTATTGTTGTTGTTTTTTTTTTCTATTGACACGAAATAACGTGTGATGACGTCACACGAGTAATAACTTTCATAATTTTACAAAGTGTCCAAATTACGACACGTATATTATTTTACGATAAATTTTTTTACGTCGTAATAAAAATAAAATCGTTACAGGGAAAAAAATTTAAAACATGAGAAATGATTTATCGATAGATCGATGGATCGATTTATCGATTAATGATCAATACGAATTTTGATTAATTACGTCATTTTAAATGAAATCATTATGAGATGGGAGAACAATAATTTTAACGTTAAAATTTTTTATTTTTTTCTTTATGTTTTAAAATTATCGTGGAAAAAGGAAAAGAAAAAGGAAAATTTAAATGTAATCCAATCGTAAGTCTATGTAAAAACACAAAGGAAAAAAAAAGTAATAATAATAATAATGTTGATGATGATAATAAAAGAGGAAAAACATGAGTTTTCATAAAGATGAAATTTTTTGTTCAATTATACAAAAGAAAATCTTTTTTTTTTTTTTGATTTTCATATTCATAACTTTTTAAAACTAGATAATGCCAAGTGAACCGTGTTTATGACA